AAAACGTCTTTAAAGCATGCGATACGACGATTTATGACCTTTTCAGAAGCCTATCTCTAACCGTTTCTGAGATGGCGTCCACCAAAAAACTCGGGGTAGCTACAGCCTCTATGCGTGGAATGAGAATTAAACGGATAGCCTAAAAAAATTCTTTCTACCACCGTTGGCCCGTACCGTAGTGTACAGTAAAAATTGTTCATTCGGTCTTGGTTTTAGCGTTTGTATGTATAAAGACAAATTAGCTCAATTTGTACGTAATCTTCAGATATTTCTAAAGACTGTGGATGTAATTCCAAGTAAGTCAAAAAATTAACGACAAAGGCCTCGACGTTTTACATCCGCATGTCAATATGGAATTACGAATTATGTTTTGTATGCCTGTATCTAACTGCACGACGAAGAGATCATTTTCGATACATAATAGAATAAAAACTACCTTTAAATTAAAGATGTTACTTTTTCTTCCTCCAACTTATACGAAATTGTAATATTTAAGACGAAATGTTTCTAACATAGTTACGAAGATACCTTGTAGGTCGAAATTTGATAAGAATGTCAATAAATTAAGTGAAATTTGTTTGTTCTACAAATATCAGTAAAATTGAGTTGTTGGTGAAACGATTTTAACAACTACTTAATAGAAAATTCATTGTTATCTCTCCGTAAATATTTCAGCCAGATTACCTTAAATAAAAAAGCTAAGGAAACTTTTTACTAAGGCACTTTTTGATTGCTTGACGGGTTAATTCAATGAACTAGTGAATTAATTTTACCCACTTCAAATATAACCTCAAATTAATGAGGAAAAGTGTAGTACTGGTGGGTGAAATCAGCGGCCCGGGTTCGATTCAATGGAGTAACAACAACAACAATTTTTCCTCATTAATTTGAAGTTATCTTTACCTAGTGACTAAAATTAGTTCAAAAAAATTAATTCATAGTACCTTTTAAATTTTTCTGCATAAAATCCTATAGTACGTATCTCAGCTGAAAATGTCCCTGTAACCAATAGAAGTACTGAAGCAAAAAATCTCCACATTTTTATGAGTAACACGTCTGTACTTGTTATTAGCCCACTATTCTTTTTTTCACTAAGTGATCTACATTTCAAAAAATTTTGATTTTATAGATAAATAAATATCTAAACTAAGCTATGATATTGATTGATACATAAGGATATTGATTGATAAGAAAGTTCAGTTATCGGTGCATTAAGAGAAAAATATTATTTTCAAGAAGACCTAATTTAAATAAATAAATATCTGTCTGAAGTACTTCTAAGCAAATGTTTACTCGTGTGTGAGAAAAACTGTAATTGATTCATTTTTATTAGATCATTTCAAACAACATAGTGTTGAATAAAAAAAATTACACAATTCAAAGAAAATGTTCGTAACTGAAGCAATACAGTACAGTAAAGCTTCATTAATGTGGATAAAATGAAACAAAATGCACAGAATTAGTGGTGTAACAATTTTTAGCACAAATACAAATCATAATACATAAATAGTACGTCGCAGACTTCCTAGATAGAGCATGCTTTTCCATGAAAGTTAAAGCGCCGTTTCTTCGGTGCCATGATACGGTACAACGGTCAGGGAATTACAGAAGGATACAGTCAAAAGCCCGTCACAAGCTAAGTACCCTATGAGCCGCCTTACGGAATACATACCACAAAAATGTAATATTTTATTTTCGTTCTGATTATAGGAATTTGGATTTATTCATCATCTGCATGAAAATCCTCTCGTTAGGTAATGTAATCGTTCGATTGACCTTGAAATTGCCGCGTCGCGTAGCAGAACGTAGATAACGGCCAAACTACCTGAAGAGATTGCATACTGGAACCGGACGTAGTAATTGTAATTCGGAAGTTGAAATATTTAGTTATTTGCTTGTACTTTTCCTTATGATCAATTATGGTGCCTTTTCGTTTATCGCGAATCAACGCTTCTAAGTCTTTGCGGCGGCGACGTAAATCAATCAACGTCTGTCATATCAGACAGGCCTCGATATGCTTTACACATAAACACATAAGTCATAACATTATAGGAACATTCGAAACAGACATAGAACTTTTTGGACTTTTGGAAATACATCGATAGGGGTTCGTTCAAAAAGTATCGCGAATGTTGTGCCTTTTCAAAAATTATTCATTTACACATGAATATCTATTTTGTTCCCTTCAAAGTAATCCACATCAAATATTATACATTTGTGCCAATATTTTTTCCAACCCTCGAAGCACTTCAAAACAATTTTTTTTTGTGATCTTGTTCAGCTCCTCCTTCGAAGCCGTCTTTATCTCCTCAATCGTAGCGTATCGTCGTCCTTTCATGCGCCTTTTCAGTTTGGCGAAGAAGAAAAAGTCAAAGAAGGGCAGAGGAATACAGTGGCTGCGGCATAATGAGTGTTGTTGTTTTGGGCCAAAAATTCGCGCACAAGCAACGATGTGTGAGCATGGGCGTTATCATGATGCAAAAGCAAATTTTTGTTCTTTCAAAAATCCGGACATTTCTGTTGGATTCCTTTACGCAACTTGCTCCTAAGCAGCAGGTAACATTCTTTATTGACCATTCTACCTTGTGAACTCATGATGTACCACGCTCCTGCAATCGAAGAAAACTGTAAGCAAAACCTTCACATTTTTACCTACCTTGGCGCGCTTTCTCCGGTTTTGGCTCGTGCGGCAGCTTCCCTTGCGATGATTGAGCTTTGGTTTCCACGTGATAACGCAAAACCCATGTTTGGTTACCTTTCATCACCCTCTAAAGTAAATTTGGGTCGACGCGGCGACCCGTCTCATTCCCAAATCATTTGTAAACATCGAATGGCAGGAGCCAATCAAACCTAACTTTCTCCTCTTTTCCGTATATTTGCACGACTATAACAAGAGTACTTAGCACACAAGAGCTCCGTATTCTTGGAGGTACTTTCCCTTGCGAAAGCCTTAACCCTACCGAGCAAGCTGCAGTTCAAGCACGCAGCGTTAAACGATTTCATCTGCCGTCACCCACGAGATTCACCCCTTAGCCCTATATGTGAGGACACAGTGCCCGGCACTTCTTCCGCTCTTTCCCAGGATCACTACGAACCAGGACCATCCTCCATTACCGCTTCACTGAAGCCGGGAAGCGTCACAATAATGCCGGAGACGAACACCTTTCCTATCATTGTCTTCGTCAACGTCCACTGACACTGACTTGGAGCCAAGGCTCTATAGCTTCTCCACCCATTGTTATCCGCCAAAAGTCCGTTGACCGAAAATTCGTAGAGCCATGGACAACCACGGTATCACCGCCCGTCAGGCCATTAACAGAGTCTACCCCAACTCCGTGGACGATTTTCGTCGCCTATCGTCGTACCCCTATAAATTCATGGTTGAGTTCTCAACCAACCAACTTCAACAAGACAGAAACCTTCATGTCGTCCTCTGTGGAGTCTGCATCTCCACGGACGATATACAGTCTGAACTTGTCAATAAAGGCTTCGCTATGCGGGGTGTTCACCGAAAGTCAAAAGATGAAAAAATCTGGCCACTAGTATCCGTCCGTCTCGACAAGTCTGCTCCTAAGTCCAAGTCAATCTTTGAACTTGGCAAGCTCTGCGGTCTCAGGGTCACAGTTGATTCGAAAAGAGCCACCAAAGAACTTGCCCAATGTCGCCGTTCTATGAAATATTTTCATACGGCCCACTACTGCCACGCTGCTTGGGTCTGCGCCTTCTGCGGTCGCAATCGCGTCACCGGCGAATGCAAGGCAAAAAACAGGAAAGACGCAACCTCCTCCTGTGCTAACTGCAAAGGGAACCACCGCGCTACCTATCGTGGTTGCCCAGGGTACCTAAGAAAACCGCACCACCTAAAAAACCGTTCCCTACTACGGCTGCTCCAAAAAGCGTCCAGACAATCACCCATCCGTTACCCACCCCCGTACCGATGTTCCCCAAAAGTCTTACGCCAGGGCAGTGAGACCAGTCCCTCCACTTCTATCCAAAAGTCCAACGCAACCCCTACCATCCCTTCAGCGTTAGTTGCTTCCCCAATCCTGGAACAGACACTGCAGGTTATCGTGCAAACGGTTGTAGCCAGCATAGTTGCCGCTCTCCCATGTATGAAAACGCTTACCCAAATAATCTTCAAGTAATTACCTGAAATGAACCGAATTTAAACCCAATACGTTTAAGATTTATGATACCCTTCACCCTCGGTCAGTTATTACTGCTACCACCCAAGTCTCAAATAAAATTCCCGCCAACATATAGTTAGGTAGATATTATTGTATTATGAATTATGCTATTCTTGCTGTAGGAGATCCAAACAAGAAGAAATGTAAAAATTTGCACGTTTGCCGTAACAGGTTCATCGAGTGACTAGTTAGGCGAAATAAATTAACTCAATAAATGAATAATTATTAATTAAATAGCAGATTTTGTGCTATTCTGTATTTTTCTTTTTTCATTAATGACTTAAAATCATTTAATTTATTAAACTGTATATACGTATTACAAGTATCATATTTTTAATTGATAAAAAATAATTTTAACTACTGTACTATACCTACACGTTGTCGCTAATTTAAATAAAAAAATGGTTTTTCTCATTTCTCTTTTAATAATATGAAATATTTAAAAAAGAAGATGAATAAATACGTCTGATAACAATTTATTATACTCTGGTCAGACCTAAACTTCAAAAAGTAAAAAATAGACCTATTACTTCTTTAAGAAAAGTAACCAAAACAACGTTGATCTATTAACGTTGAAACGTTAACTAGTTTATCAACTAGTTGACGTTAAAAAAAAAACGGTTTCGTTTCGTTGTCGGTGAAAACGTAAACGACCCACCCCTAGCCCCTAGTGCTTCCTTCTTACACTCATTCCCCTTCCCGCTTCCGACCTCTTCCCACTCTTTCCTGGGATGTATAACCTCTGGGTTGATCTCCCTACTCGAGGAGGGGTTTTAGTCGGTAGGTGCTTCGACGAATCCGACAATACCTCCTTTCAAGGGGTGTCTTTTGAAGATTTCCCTTCTTCGAGGAAAAACTAAACAAAATCTTTTCTGGATAAAATGTATCCCATGTGCTTTTCTGTATTCCTGACAATATAACTACAAGATTTCGTGATGTCTTCTCTGTACTTCTAACAATGGTCTACAAAATTTTACGATAATCGGTTGAGTAGTTAAGGCGTGAAATCGATCACATAAAATTAATTTTTTCTCTATCCGTTGGGAACAGTATTTTTTCTGGATAAAACGTATCCTATGTGTTATTCTGTACCCCTGACAATGTGTCTACAAGGTTTCATGATGATCGGTTGACTAGTTAAGGCGTAAAAAGCCGACAAGCAAACAAATACACCTGGCTGTCAACCTTTTTTACGCTTATCTTGGCTGGCAAAGTGTATCCTAATTTTGTCAGTCTGCTATAAATATTATGATTTTTTTTTAGGAGTTTTGCTTTTATATTTTGAGATGACCACAAGAATGCGATGTAGAAGTTGAATTCGTTTGCTGCTCGTTTTTCATAAATTTTCATTTGCTTTAATAGCAATCTATTTTTATACAAGTTAATAAATAACGCAAGAAATAACTACTTGCTATGGCAGCCTGGTATAAGACGTTTCTTGCAAACGGTTGTGTGCTCCATGCCTAATAAGTCAGGACGAAAAGTTTAATGGAATGAATGGTTTGACTATACTTGAAGCTATTTATAGTTGATCTAAAATTACGCACATTTTTAGGGTTCCATACGTTCCAATACAAAAAAAAAGATCCCTTATATGATCACTCGTGTCCGTCACATTCAATTTGTCAAATCTACTGCACCCATTATGTTAAAATTTAGTACACATATGAATTTCTGTGTACTCAAATACGGACGCATAACGTAAATAAATTAATTTTGAACAGGAGGATCATTTTTGGGGAGCTAATATTAAAAAAAAAAGTTTTGCACACTGTACCTTGTGACATATCATATGAAAGGGCTTGTTGTAAGGGTCTCAGATATATTTTTAAAATAAATAGTTTTGAAGATATTTAATGAAATTGATGAAAATTGACAATTCCGAAACTACTGAACTTAAAATTACTTATAAATTACAGGAAAATTAATAAATGGTCTATGGTCTGAACATAACGTTGTAAATCTTTCAACAAAACAATACTGTGCGTACAAATTTACATTTGCTGTTTAAATGTATGAGAGAACATGATTGTTTTTAACTACAATGTTAAGTTGGTTCTCGGGTTGCGGCTCCGTAGGTCCGAATGAAAAACGGAACCCTTATAGGATTACTCGTGTGTCTGTCTGACCGTTTTTTTTTTTTTTTATAAAATGACATGGCATATTTGATATTAAAAATGTACATTACAAGCAGGGTATTAATTTGCGGTCTTATTTTAGAGCAAGAACTGCTGCTAATCCATTACATATGGAAATCAAAAGTGTTTCATGGAAAATACCCGAACCAATAACAGCACGAACATATAGATAAATAAGCTTCTAATATGTGGTTAAGAAAAGATAATATATTCTCAGAAACTGATTCATAATAGCGATTTTTAAATGTATAATTAAAAGTATTTTATGCTGCAAAAAATAACTTTATTTTTTTAGAATTAAATTATTTAGGACGTGAATTTGATCATTTTTATTATTGACATTACATGGATTTATTGTTATAGTCGTTATCAAGATTATTTTGTTGTTGATTTAACTCCTCCTTCTATTTCAGATATCCAGGCACTTATTGTGTCCATAATTCTGGTTCTAGCCTGTTTCAA